TCTTTCCAGCACAAATCCAAAACACAGCCCCGTACTAGCTACTGTGAAGAAAATTAACTCTATCCCAGCCAAAACCAGCACAGACATCTTCAGTAAAGCTTGACCATGACAGAGATTGTTGAGGTAGTAAATAATATGCTAGATAATTGCAGAAGCTAATAAGACATGTTTTAATATTGCCAAACACCAGCCTCTTGTGTGGGATAGGAAACTATAAGTAGTTGTGAAGCCGTGATTTAGAGAAGGACAGGTTATCAAAGATAATTGGGTCTACTTAAGCTCTTTGTGCAATGTTGTGGAAGGAGAAAGCACTAATGCAATAATGTATTAAAGTCACACTGTCAAGTGGAACAGGGTCATGATTGCCTCTGCATGCTGTATTGATAAGATTGCTTCTAGAGTGCCAAGTCAATTTTTGGTGTCCAGTCTTAAGGAAAATAAGGAAATAGGGCAAAAGGAAGACACAGGGATGCACAGGACCTGGAGATCAGGTTTATATCCTATGTAGCTTTAAGAAGTTCAGCTTAGTTTATCATTATGTGTGGGTTACTTGGGCATGGAAAATTTGTTTGTAGGTATGGGACAAGGAACGCTTTCAGTATCGTTGATAAAGGTGCAGCAAAATTCAGTGACTGGAAAATTAAATTAAGGGGAAAATGCAGCCTTGAATTAACTTGCAATTTGTTAGCTTTGAGGATTACTGAATAGTGGAACAGCTGATGCGGGGAGGTGATAGACTCATCAGTGCTAGACATCTTTAAAAAAAAAAGAGGGAAAGACAGAGTGCTCTTGCTAAAAGACGCACTGTAATCCAGCTGCGGGAGGGGACTGCACATCGGAGCTGAATAGCCAGTTGGGATAGCAAGCAGGGTGGTTCTGGCTGTTGCTGGGATCTGTTAATTTTATGATTTCCTTTTTACAGTTCATGTGCTGCAAGGAGAATAGTCGTACGTGTTCTGTCCTCAGTCTAAACTATACATGATTTAAACAGTTGCCTAGAGAGTCATGAAGAAATTACTTCCCCTGCTGTACACAGGACCAGATAGTTTGCTTGTTCGTTGCTGTCCTCTGATCCAGAAACCAGCCAAGGCTGAAACTCAGATCCCGGGAAGGTTGATCCAGTTCTCTGTGCTCTAAAGGGATCCTCTTTCATAGATGATCCCTGAGTATGACTCATGTGGTCACCGTTGTAGTGATCACCAGGTGTTAAGGTGGGAAGGGACTTTGCACAGCCTTGAGGAGTGAGCAGTAGTCCAGCTGAAGTCTTTGGGGTAAGAGCTCTTTCTTGCCTGAAGTACCACAAAACTATGAAACCAGGAAGTTTGTCACACCTCCACCTGGCCTCAGAATGTGAGAGCCTTCAACATAGAGCTGGGTTCTCCGGTGCCTTGCTGTGTTAGTGGGGCAGGGGTTTCTGGGGAATATTTTTTTTCCAACTCTTAATAGATGGAAAAATTAGAAAAGCTTTCAAAGAAGCTTCTTTTAGATCTGAAATAGCAACACAGCCTCTAAACCAAAATATAGGTTGAGAGCAATTGCTCTCAGCCTAATTGGATATGTGAATGAGTTAGACCATCTGAGGGAAGAGGTAGTGTGGACTGAGGAAAGTATGAGAGAAAAAGGCTATTATCACCATGGGAAGGAGAGGAACAGGTAATCTATTGGTTGTTGGAACATGGTGGTATCAGCTGGGGTAGGGGTTATAGAAGGAGGAGGTTATACTATGTGATAAAACCATTTTTTCTGTTGTGTCCATATTTTTTAGTATTTAGTGGAATCACAAACTTTAGTAGGCTCCTTTTCAGAAGGTACCCTCCGCTGGGTAACTCTCTAAGAGGTCAGAGGTAGAGAGATCATTTTAAAATTGTCCCACTGATGCCTATTTCTTCTTGTCTTTAATAATTTGTCAGTGTGAATTCATTCTGATATTTAATGGTTGTTTAATTTCATCCATATAGTTTACAAAGCACTTGCATCAGATGAAGCGTATTGTGCTCTGGGAAATGAATGGGCAGGAGCTACAGATCTTGATGATACTCATCAGAAGACATAGGTTGTGTGGCTTGAGAATATTGGCAATTCTGCATTTGTTTCTTAGGTGTGGTCTGTTCCTTTTGATGCATATCAGTCCACAGGGAATTTGCTTCTGAGGATAGGTTTAGCAATGCTGGAGCTATGGGTAACGTGCACCTCAGGGAGCCAGATTCTGTAACAGAAAACATTTTTTGTCCATTGTCCCCTTGTAATACGTAAGCAATGTACAATTATTCGTATGCCATTAGATTTTACCAAGGAATTATTTGCTGGTTTGTGTCTTGTACTTGCAGTTTATCAGATTTCGTCTTAATTAAAAGCTTTAACATATTTAGCTACACCTTATTTGGGGCTATTAATTTATAAAGGATGCACTTTATCATGGTACTTATAGTCTTCAGCTTACTGTTTTTATGGATGTAATAGATCTAATTTGTACTAGTATATTATTGCTTTTAGCAGTGTGATGCTGTGCTTGCCTTGAAGCAGAAAAAAACACTTTCAGTTTGAAATTGGAATTAAAAGTTTATGGATGATCACTGCTATTAGAAATGCTGGGAAAAATATCAGAGGCTGTTTTATTGGTTGGCTTTTTGTCTGTTTTGAGCGTTTGTGGTTTTTTTTTTAAGTCATATTTAATGATTATACTCATTATGACCATTTTCTTTCAGGAATATCAGCCTTGTAACACCAACGCCTGTCCGGAGTTAAAAAAGACAACTCCTTGGACGCCTTGGACCCCAGTCAATATTTCAGACAACGGTGGCCACTATGAACAACGTTTCCGATACACCTGCAAAGCGCGCTTGCCTGACCCAAATTTACTAGAGGTGGGAAGGCAAAGGATTGAAATGCGTTATTGTTCCAGCGATGGCACCAGTGGATGCTCGACAGATGGTAAGCAAAGCTAGAGTGGCTGCACGATGCCTCCTGCTAGCGAAGTGTCTGCAGTTCCATTTTCAGCACGGAGTGGAAGTTTTTTCGTGCTGGTGTTTTGCGTAACAGAACTGATAATGAGAAGGAGGACATAGTGATCACAATGGGGAATCTATCTTGTATTTCTTCTGGATGTAGCTTCATCATTCAGACTAATCAAATGTCTTTTACCACCGATTATGAGATCTGCTAGGTTATTTTAATATTCTTTACAATAATCTGCGAGCCATGACATAGCAGCCCAGTTCTTGGAGGATTCTGTCACCTCCTTATACTCTCGGGTTTTTACTGGGGGAGACTTTGTGCAACATTAATGTATTTGATAAATATTTAGCTAGAATATGTAGTATTGATGCTGAGAAGAACTTTTTGCTCAGTAATTCTAAAGTAACAACTGTAAGATTCATGCAGGTGTTTAAATAAGGAGTTTATGAACTGGATAACTTCTATTATAAAAGTTTATGTTATGCTATTGCTAGCAATTTAAAGTTCTGTTTATTTCTGAGATGGAAAACTGAACTCCTTCAAAATCTTTTCAACTTTAGATGACTTTAAATTGGAATTATTTTATT